AATCTTGGCGCGTTCCTGCCTCTTTGCTAACTCACAGCTTGGTTTCTGCTTTTCCAGCGCAGGGATAAATAAACTTGCGAGGCGCCGACATGAAAATACTACTTTGTATTATTTCAGAGGGATGTGGTAACCTTTCTTGTAATAGCTGCCTAACTTTCCAGTTTTCCATTAAAAATAAACTGAGAAAGCCAATGAAAAAAAGCCACTTTGTCCTGAGGTGGATGAGGCATAAGAACAATAAATTAACTTCAGTCCTGTGCAAAGGTGAATTGAAAACACCGTTGCCAAGTGCAGCCATTGATCTGACATGAAGACTTTGCTACAGTTAGGCATTCTTTACAGCATTAGAAATTTCATTCTAGTAATTTAATCCACCTCCTGGATTAAAACAAAACATTCGCTTGTTAAAGAAAACAAAAATATGATCATTTGTTCAAAATAGGCTTCACAGGAGATCAAGAATTTATTCCTTGGACAGGTCGCCAGTACTTGAAGTAATTTACAGAATAAATAGTTTAGGCTGAGATTTTCAAAATGGCCTGATTGACCAGTGGGAGTTGGGCACCTAAATTCCATAAGCCTCTTCGGAAAAAAAAAATCATTTTAATTATTTAGCTTCAGAACTTTTCTGACACCGGACACATTGGCATGTTAAACCATGATGTAAAGAAGTTTGTAGGATCAGGAGATCACAAAGCAGGACAGATTCATTAACTGCAGGTTACTATTAAACATTTATATTACAGAACAAAAATTGGTTTTCTTGAAGTTAAAGTAGGGAAACAGTGTGCTGCTGACATTAAAAGAACGGAAATAACATTATAATAGGTGGGATGGTATATTCACCTTTGGAATAAGATTTTGTTTTACTGTATGTGATGTCAATAAGTCTATATTATAAAAGCTCATTAAAAACAAAGAAGAACACTCACCATCCTTAAGAGAGAAGGACACAAGATCCTAAAACAAAAACATGAAACAAGTAAGTTAAATTTGATGGCATTTTACCCAAAAATCTAAAATAAGATAATGAATTAGACATACGCTATAATTGAGTGATTTCAGCATGTGAGTATATGAATAGGAGAAACCATGGTGCATCATTTCAGTAAAACAGTATATATCAAAGCCAGATGCTTTAAACACAAAGGTATCCATACCCTGCTATATGTAATTGGGCAGAAATAGTCACCCGCAAAGTGGTAGAACAATTCACTTATGTATAAAGGAGCAGTGTGTAAATATATCACAGATTATCTTATCACCATCGGATTGCACCAACCAACTATACAGGGCTTGTGAATCTGGAGATGTGGGTTCTGTCTCTGCCACAGATATGCTGTGTGACTTTGGTCAACTCACTTAGGTCCAGATTTTCAACAGCGGTCTCCAAGTTTTGGATGCCTAAATTGAAGCACCTTAGGGCTGATTTTCAGAAGCCTTGAGTTTCCATAACTTTAGCTAAAGTCAATGGTAGCTACGGGTGCTCAGCATCTCTGAAAAACCAGGTCTCTCCTGGTAGGTTTACACTGCAGTTAAAAATGCATGGCTGTTTAATTGTGATGTAGACTTTTGGGCCTGGGATTCTGAGCCCGAACATCTACACCACAATCAAACAGCCCCTTAGCCTGAGCCCTGAGATCCAGAATCAGCTGACACGGTCCAGTCGTGGGTGTTTAATTGCAGTGTAGACATACCCTCAGGCTGAGCACCAGAATTGATGGCCCCTTTTAAAGATGTTTGAATTTAATTTCTCTGGGCCTCGGTTTCCCCAGCTGGAAAACGGACAGAGTAATACAGTAAAAATTTCACATATAGGCTGTGAGGGTTAATTATGAGCTTAGACGGAGGGTGCTAACGAAGGACAAAGTGCTGTTGTTATGACTATGTTCTCCTTTTGTTTCATCACTCACAATGTTTAAGGTTGTGTGCAGACACAGCATACAGCACTGATTCAGTCGACAAGCCTCTCTCTTGCCCACCAGGAAGACATTGTGAAGAAAAGCCAGACATGTGCATGTTTATAGGGAAAATCTGGAATCGCTTTGGAAATGAAGAGCACAGCTGAAGAACCAGGATGCTGAAGAACCAGGATGCTGA